TAGGTTTAGGTCACAGATAAATATGTCTGAGCTTTTATTCTTGAATGTAGTTTTCTTTCATTTGTACTTAGAGTAGCCATATAGTTAGCAGTTTAATGGTTTAACCCTGACTGCAAGTGTTGGTTTTAGCCATAGCATTTATATAGAAAATTACTTTTTGTACATAGTAACTCCACGTAGCTACTAATTTTTAAACTACCAATAAAAATATAAGCAAGGTCTCACCTTAATACCAAAAAAAAAATTGTAAAACAGATCAAATTGTATAACTTAAAATATTTTTGAATATTTTATAATTAAAATTTCAACTTTTATTAATAGTAAAATAAAAATTTCTTTTTAAAATATATAAAATTTTTTAAAAAAAATTCATAATAAAGTTTTAGAATAGGTCAAATAAAAACTAAGTTATTAAAAAAAACTTATATATATTAATATAAAAATTTTAATAGATAGTAATTAAACAAATGTTGAAATTTTATTTTAGTTTAGAAAAAAAGGAATTTATCTTTAATAAAATTTTAAGTAATTTTAAAAAAATAAAAAAAAATTCTGGTGGGCAAATTTGCCCACTGGACAGTTTAAGAGATAGGTAAAATATGTAATATAATACATTTTTGTCATAATATACTTTGATAAATTTCATTTATCAATAGAATACATAGTTTATATAATAGTACAAACCATTATACATATGATAAATCTGCATTAAATTTTGACGAAAATTATTTCTTAATCAGTGAAAAATAAAAAATGACATGTATCAATTTGGAACTGACAAATTCTAAAAATAATGTGTAACAATACCACTAAGAATACATAATGCATAACACTATAAAGATAAAATTAATGATACATATACAGATGAAGGTGTATGATATCTTAATGACAAGACAAATATGTAAGTAAGGTTCATAGAGCAAAATTATTCATTATACTGCATATAAATTTTTTTACTAGTACGATCATATGAAATATGAGAAGGATGGTTCTGTTCAACTTTTTGGACGTGGCCTAGCAAATTTTGAAAAAATCCTATTTTAGAAGGAATAATGATTTTCATTTATCTATTTTCAGAAGGAGTTAAGATTTTTACATACCATATGATATAATTCTGCATGTAGATCACTCAATTATGATGCAAAGCTAACATCTTAAAATTTATCTCATTATGATACAACAAATTTTTACGCTATTGCAAAATTTAATTTACCATTGGTTATTTCACAAAGTGATTCCAGTCGTTATGGTTCTGCTTATTTCACTGATACTTGTTTTAAATACAACATTTATCAAAAATCAATTTATCGACATGTCTATTTACCCAACATTTACAGCTGTTTTCATAAATTCTGAGACACCTAAAAATTTTCATGTTTCCTGAAATCTTTTCAATCCTATTCTAAGAATCATCTAACTTTTTGGAAACCACTTCGCTGTCTCCATAGTGAAATCTCAAGGTCAGCGAAGTAGTTTTCAAAAAGTTAAATGATTCTTAAAACAAAATCGAAAATGTTTCAATAAACAAGGAAATTTTTAAGTGTCCCAAAATTTATGAAAACAGCCATAATTCACCGACAAGCTCATTCACTGACATTCAATTCACTGACAATTAATTCACTGACAAAGTAATTATACCAGAATTATGGTTAAGGTTAGTGAATTTAACTTGTCAGTGAATTGAATATCAGTGAATTAAGCTTGTTAATGAAATGAATATGTCAGTAAATTGATTGTTAGTGGAGCATTGTGTCTATGAAATGAGTATCAGTAAAATGAGATGGATCTTATAATTATTAGGATTAGGTAGAATAAAGGTTAGTACAAGTTTTAAAAAACTTGTTGTGAAATTTTATCTTTTGTTTCTTTTTTGAGCTTGAGTTTCATTTTTCACTACTTATTATTTTCATTATCTTCATAATTATAGTTACGGAGAATCGGTAATATAGTTATTATCTGATTTAATTTACTTGGTAAAAATTATTGAGAAAGTATAGGTTGCGTTGGAGAAGTTATGGAGTCTAATTCTACTAAAGCAAAAAAAAAACTAGAAACTAATAATAGAAGAAAGCAAAAAAAAAAGAGAATAGGTAAATTGATTTCCTTGAGCTTTTCACAATGGCGTACATGATCGTACTGGTCCTGCGCCGCGTCACACGCTGCGCAGCTACCCTAATTTATTAATACGTAGCAGTAAATAAATGCGGTGGCTAAAGCTAAAATTGGTTAAAGCTGAAAGTTTTTAATGTTATGAAAATTCTAAAATTTTTGGGGTTCATCTTTTAGCTTTTTTGTAATAGCTAGATTAGAATTTAGGGTTAGAATTATTAATAAAAGAGTATAGGTGAATTTTAATAGATTCAATAGATCAAACAGAAACCTTAATATTATCATTATTAGATATTGATTCAAAGCAGCCAATAACGGAAATTATTTGTAAAAATAATTTCATTATTTGGCTGAGTAGAATAGCTCGAGCTATTTTGATGACGCAATCATCATCAAAAGAACTCGAGTTATTCTGTTTGTACGATTATAGTAAGGTGCCGGATAAATAGAAATACTGGATAAACCAGTTATTTAAGCACGAAGTACTCGTAACTACGGTACAATCAGTGTTGGGCTTGCTTATAAGTCCAATAAAATTGAACTGGAACTGGACTTATAGGTCCAGTGGTCCAGTGGTCCAGTTTATAGTCCAGTGGTCCAGTTTATAAGTCCAGTAGAGCGGACTTTTGGTCCAGTTTATAGTCCAGTGGTCCAGTTTATAAGTCCAGTAGAGCGGACTTTTGGTCCAGAGCCCAACACTGGGTACGATAGTGTTTCTAATACTAATAAAGCGCTATCGCTCTTACTAGCATTAGGACACTATTATATTTGACATATGATTTGACCGGTCGAATTTTGCGCACCGAAGTTGCGCAAAACGACCAATCAAATAGCATACGGCAAATAACTATTAATTATTATTTAGTCATTTAACGAGTATTTATACCTTTGTGTTTTATCTATCTATATGCATAATCTAATTATAAATATAATTGATAATAAGTATTAACAATTTTAAATATAACCTAACCCATTCGAACTTTGGAAACAGACAAAAAAAATATTAGATGTAAAAAATACAATTTATTGCTTTATAAATAATTTGCCTTTGATATAAAAGAATAAAAGATTTTGATAAACTAATTCATTTTAATTCTTTTATCATTCTTTAATTTCTCCTTCAAATCTAATTTTAGAATTTTACCAGTCTCACTTTTTGGAATTTTATCAATAAACAATATGCCACCTCTTAATTTTTTATGTGGTGCAACCTTTTCATCTACAAAAGATTGAATTTCTCTTGCTAAAGATTGAGACTCCTCATACAAGTTTTTAATTACGACATATGCTATAGGAATTTCGGTTGCTTCTTTTTCAGAATAATATCCTAACACTACTGCATCTGTTACGGCATCATGCGTGAGTAGAATAAGTTCCAATTCAAAAGGTATCACCTGAAAACCCTGCAAATTTTAATTTTTGTGTTAGTCAAACTTAACGACATACTACGTAATATGCAACATGATGATATTTATTATAATCGTACTTTGTAATTTATTAGATCTGCTTTTCGATTAAAAATAAAGTAGTTCCCTTTATAAAAAAATGAAATTGTAATTATGTAAGCATATATACATATATATATGTGTGTGTTTGGTTCAATAATAAAATTTACCTTTTTCATCAATAGATACAATATCTCCTGTGCTAAAAAATCCGTCTTTGTCAATAACAGCATCGGTAGCTTCTTTATGATTGAAATAACCCTATTAAAAGTGTAAAATTTTTAGTACAAGTGACATAATTTTATCGTGCAAATACAGATTTTTTTTCTTGTTATTTTTGTACGTTATTACATAATAATAGCAATACTGAATTAAAAAACTCAGTCAGCCTACCACGACTTGTAAATCATGATCATAATTGCACGATAACATCGATATTTGATCATGTGATGATAAATATCAAAATTTGTTCTGTCGGGACATATGGTTGGCTGAAACGTGCCGGTACGCGGCACATATCAGCTAATCATTTTCTCCGATAAAACAAATTTCATGAATGATCAATATCTTATACATATTAGTATATAATGGTTAAACTGTGTACCTTCATAATATTTAGACCGTGAACCCACAATTCTCCAGGTTCATTGTATCCCAATTCTAAATGTAATATGATAAATTTTATTTGGTTTCAAATCAGGAATAAATAAATAAATATATATATATATAATTACCACGACCATCTTCTGATAATATTTTGGCTTTCATATTTGGCGAAAGAATCCCAATAGAACCTAATAAAAATAATTGCTTTAGTAACCATGAAATATACACGGGAGGTACATCATTTAATGATATAATACCAGGAGCTGCATTCTTTATTGTACCAGGAGGGCGTAATACACAACCTATTTCAGTAGAACCTTTATTATGACATAAAATTAATGCATCATAATAAAAAAGACAAAACAGTTTAGAAAAGAAATTACGTTATTTCAAACGACCTAATAAAAAAATTTCCTACCATAAGCTTCAATAATCTGTATTTTAAACATTTCATGAAATTTTCTTTCTAAATTATCATCTAACCGAACTGCCGTGCTTATAATCCTATCCACACTTGATAAATCAAAATTTTGAGCCAATGGATCATTGACAAGTTCATGTATAAATGACGGAGCAGCACAAATATGGTTGATTTTATATTTTTGAATTGATTCACAAATCGTTTCCAAATTGAAGTTTGAATGAATGATTGTAGTAGCACCCTATATTATTAATGCATAATTCTTAATTGACAATGTAATGATGAAAAAGTATTAAATATAGGATTACATACATAAATTAAGGTTGCATGAAGAATATGATCAAGCGCATAACCGTGACAAAATTGCTATATTTTTAAAGCAATAATAAAAAATTAATTTAAGAAAACTTGAAAACACTTTAAGAAGAATTCTTTTATATGACTTACTGTGATACCCATAGTTGTACTATGTGGTCCAAGTTTACTATCTAAAGTAATTAATTGAATTAAACCAGCAACTACGTTTGTGTGAGTACGTTCGACACCTTTTGGCTTTCCAGTTGTTCCAGAACTGTAAACTATATAAGCAGTCGTTGATTTCGCTTCTTCAGGAGTATAATTAATTGGCTCGATTTCACGATCACAAGTTAAAATAGAACGATAGGGTTTATATCCTTTTATTTCTTTATCACCAAATAACAGTATCTTAGATGCGGGAATATTTGCATTGATTGAAGCTTCAATAGCGGCTTCAAAAAATTCTGGATCCACGATTAGAAACGATGCGCCTGGATCAGTTAAATGATAAATTAATTCCTCTATTGTTTTATATTTTGGATTAGCCATCGTTACTTTGCCTCCTATAGATACATAAACATAATTTAGAATTGAAAAATATATGATAAAATTAATTAATTTGTATGGAATTATGTATTACCAGCTGCAATCGTTCCAAAGAGAATAATAGGATAGTCAATCTTAACAAAAAAAAAGATCATATCATCAAATAAAGGAATTAACAACTTAGCTAATGAATAAATTAGCGACTTAGCTAATGAAAAAAGTTTAAAGAATACCTGATTAGACGAAAATATCGCCAAAACATCCCCACGTTTAAATCCCAATTTATCCTGTAATCCAGCAGCAAACTTTTTTGATTCATGTTTAAATTCGCCAAAAGTGTAACTTTTGCCAGTAATCCCGTCCACATAAATAGTCTTATCATCTGGAATTTTGTTTGGATTACTAGTTACATATTGATAAATTCCGACTTCAGGAACTTTTATATCTGGATATTTAGAATTAAAGATCATTTTTATGATCAATTAGTTGGAATAAGTTAAATTCATACTATATATTTATATATCAATAAATCTTATGCATCCAATCAAAATAAAAATTGTGGAATAATTTCAGATTTATTCCATTTTATTTTAACGGAAGTATTTCCCGTTCCTGGTTACGTTGAACATCAAAGGATACTTAGGATTAAGTTACTATTTTAGAAGGTCCGTTTAAAAACAAAGTACATTATATAATGATCTACATGCTGCACAAAGTGTATTTTTTGATATCTATATAACCCGCTAATCCTAACTGAATCAAAAGAGTAACCCTAGCTGGTACTTGGATGTAACGTTCCCTATTTTAGGGATTGCCCAAATTAGTGTACCTTTGGGTTAGTGATTTATGAAAATATAAAGAATATGATTTATGCAATATGTAGAGCAAATGTAATTGAACCGGCTTTAGAGACCCCTATTTTAGATAGTGTCTGCATCAGTATTTCGTGGGTTTCCGCAATATTTCGCGGGTAGCTGTCGCAGGTTTCGCTCTATCGTATCATACTTTATTTAGAACGAGCGAGCATTTATTCAAGATCTGTTAGTAAGAATGTAAATGCATAAATATTTATCCATATCCTTGAGTTGTTTTGGGAGCTAGAACTGAGATAGTGTGTACTGTATTGTACTGGTACATTACGTACTACTGTACGAACAGAAATCTGTAAGTTCGGATAAAAATTTAACCATTTATATTTGAACTAATCTTGAATGAATATGCTTTCATATTAACAACACTTAATTATCACCTACGTACGGATAAAATTTGGTATTAACCAATTTTTTGACATCCATTTGTTGACAACCTATTTCCTAACACCCAACCATTTCACCGACAATCCACTTCCATTTGCTCGACAGCTATTTTATCATCAATTTTACCCGACAATTTTGGTTAGGGTTCACGAACTAAGTGTCACCAAAAATCAGTTACGGTTTAAACTCAATTAATTTTATAGTTCCGATGTGTCTATATGTACTGTTATTATTGTGTGAGCGAGCTTAGCACTTATAAGGTCCGATATTGTACCAGAATAAGAATCCATTACTAATAGAGTGGCTTGTCACACGTGTTAGGGTGATCACGCTTATGTAATGTGAAATTTGAAGGTCATTAAAAAAAAGTAATCACTAATTTCCGATTTCTTTACCATTTTTTTTGACTTTTAGACTAGATAAAATTTGTGTATTTATTATTTGTAAATAATTTGAAACTCTTATTTCAACAAATATATTACAGATTGATGCGTATGGGCGAAAATTGTTGATGGGAATATCATGATCATTAAAAATTAAGTGATACAATAGAATTACATAACCACTCCGAATAATAAAAATATATTGTGCAGCGTCATTATATCAAAATATTAATAAGCAAGTATAGGATTTACTAATTTCCCTTTTCAAGTTCTTATTGGACGTGGCAAATCTACTTTCCCATTGTATGAATGGATTATATCATAGGTTAGGCGGCTCATTATGCACCACATTAAGTATCAAATCGAATAATCATTATTTTTGTAATATTACATTATTTAGTATTAACATTTAGCAATTCTTTGTTATAGCAATTCTTCACAATTGATTAAACCATTTTACGTTTCTTTTTAATTTTTTTTAAACCATTGTATTAAATATCTGTTGTACTGTGCAAAATAATATTAATAAATTGAATATTTTGAGACTATTCTAAGATCAAATATATTTACATTTTGTTTATTATGTTAATTTCTTCTAATATTAATAATTCTTTTAAAATTAATGATGTTGTGATATGAATATAAGTGACAATGAATTTGATGGTATTTTGATTATGTTTTAAATGCAACTAACAGCATTAATTAAGCATAAAAAGTAGTTATAAAATATTAAACAAAGTTTAGAGACAAAAAAAATAAAAATCTATTGTTTTTTTATATATAAATATAAAAAATAAATGAAAGGTCTTAAAAAGTAGATATTAGTTATTATTAGTATAATTATTAAACAAATATAAATATAAAAAAGAAAACCAAATAAAATAAATTATAGTATTGTTATTGCTATAAAATTAATAAGATGTTGTCAGGAAACATACAAATAAAAATTATAATAGTACAAAAAAATTTATATTTATATTATATTTTTTTAAAATTCAATATATATTTTAGAACATTATTATAAACATTATAACCATTATTCTAATAAACTGTCAAATTTATAAATATTGCTTTTTTCAAAAAATATTTAACAGTTTATTTAATAATATACTTTTAAAAAACTTATTTTCTTAGTATATACAAAATTATATATTCTTAGATTATTAAATTACAAATTAGAATTTATTTTTTTTTGTTTTTTAACTAGTTCTTTAAAAATTAAGATTTTTGTAAGATATAGAATATTATTACAAATATATTTTATATTAGAAAATACAACTAGTTAAATGCATATTTTTAATGTTTAATTTAAGTAGTTTTATATAAATAGTTTCTATGTTAGTTGTTATACTTGCAACTCAACTATAGATATTACTATTTAAATCTTTTGTACTACAATCTTTACTGTGTTACTAAAACATTTTTAATATGTATATTAGTTAAAAAGTTCTAAATTATTACTCATACTTTTAAAACTTTTATCTTATTTTATATAATTTATTTTTAAGAAATTGTTAGTAAAGCTTTTTATATATTATATATAGTTAACTTAGTTTTATATAATATACTATAGTCAGATTAGTATTTACAGTTATGAATATTTTTCTAAACTACTATATTATACTATTTTTATAAAGTTTAATCAAATTTTAATATTTATCTTTTTAATATTTTCTTTATTAATTTTTTTACTTAGTACTAATTAAACTTTTTAAACTATTAATTTTTTTTTTTCAAGTCAACTCTTTCTGATGATCACTTAAACCAAACCAGCACCAAAACAGTTTAAAGAGTTATGCTTTTAAGATGATGATATCTTTGATTCTGT